CTATAGGATACAATAAAGCCACACACTACCACACAGTGCTCAGCCCCACATGAGTACAGTATGTGTGTGCCAGCAAATTAAACTCCACATAATTTTCCTCAAACAGTGAGCAATTCTTGGTAGCATGTCAGGCAAAACAAAGTACCATTTTCTCTCCATTTGCACAGTAATTGCATTCCTAGGAAAGTCATTTGTTAAATAAAAAAATAAATCTGGGCTTGGTTAGGAAGAGGCTTTATTCTGAAAGACTATTCCCTGGAGCTTTTACAATGGGAACAGGGGTCTGCTGAAATAGGGAGTTCACTCTGACCTCAGATCAGATCACAAGAGGTAGACAGGAAGGGTTTTCCTTTTATAAAGACGAAAGTAACCTAAAGGCTAGAAAACCAGGCCTGGTGCAGTGGGCTGAGAGGGTGGCATGATGGAATTGTTGTTGTTGTTATTGTTAAGTGCCGTTGAGTCGGTTCCGACACATAGAGACCCTGTATAGGGTTTCCGAGGAGCAGCTGGTGAGCTTGAACCGCCAACCTTGCAGTTCAAATGTCTTTGCAGTCTGGCGCATTAACTCACAGCACCACACCAGGACTAATAAATCAGAAAAGTCCATGCGTCTCTGAGTGGGGCCTTTGATGAAGGGAAGTGTGTTGGTTCCTGAGGGAGGACCACAGTTCAGGATTTCAGGGACAGAGAAAAGCTTAACCATAGTTTGGTAAGCAAACAATTTGCTCTGATTGATCACTGAGAACAAGCAATTCAATTAATCATTTGTGAGGAAACAAGGAATGGGGATTTGGAGAATCTGTGTTTGACCCTGTCAAACATGCCTGAGTCTCATCTAAGTCATGTGGGAAGGTGGTTATCTGCAGTCAACTGTTTTCGAGGATCAGAGAATTCAGGTAAAATCCAACATACTGTACATTGAAACTATGTGTGTGTGAGAGAGAGACAGTGTCTGGTTCTAGGTGCAGATAACTGTAAGCAGGGTTTTCATCCAGGACCTGGGGCAGTTGGTTCTTTGGGACTATCTAAGGTTTAGAGGAGCTGCATTCCTGGGTCCCACCCAATAAAGGCCAAGACGACTCCCAGGTTGTGTGACAACAAAAACTCCCCTGGAATATTTCTAATGTGCCTCCTTTGGGGGCTTGACCTTCTGTCCACCTTGGGAATCTCTGGTTTCAGCAACAGAAATAGGTGAGATCACCTGGGAGGGGTGAGGGTGGAGGGGAAGACAGCCAAGGTTGTTGTCAAGCCCATGTGTGTCAGAGTGGAATTGTGTACCCCAGAGTTTTCAGTGCTAAATTTTTCTGAAGTAGATCGTCAAGCCTTTCTTCCAAAGTACCTCTTGGTGGACTCAAACTGCCAAACTTTTAGTTAGTAGCTGAGTATGCTTACCATTTACACCACCCAGGGGGTCCAGGGTGAGCCCACAAGGCTCGTTAGATAAAAGAATATTGCATCCTTGGAATCTTCATTCATTGCCTTTGTTAGCAAATTTGTTCATTATCACCAGCTTCTAAGGCCTTGTTTGATTCTAAAAACAGTAGGTTTGCTTGGCTTTCTGGTGCTTCTTTTAATTCCTAAGGTTTAATCTCTTAAAAATATCTGCCTGCTGAATGTGAATTTGTAGCTAGATACAGTGGTGAATGGGTGTGAATTCCTTCCTTCAGGCTCCATCCCTAATGGGTCACAGTTCTGACTCTCAGAAGTAACTCAGTACTAGATTCACATCTGGGGCTGGGAATCCTTCAGGAGAATCAATCACTCCTTTGTGGATGCAAACATGGCTACCTGTGGTTTCTTCCCCTTAGCCTCTGAAAGTTTGAAGTTATGGGAACTTAACCATTTGAAGTCCTGATGTGGTTAATGCGCTAGACTGCAAAGTCTATTTGAACCACAAGGTCGTTGGTTCAAGCTCACCAGCCGTTCCATGGAAACCCTATACAGAGTCGCTATGGGTCAGAACCGACTCAGTGACACTTACCAACAATAACAACAACAATCACTTGGAGAAGCAGTCATCTCCGTGACCTACTGACTGAATGTCCAACCTTGAGTCCTAGATTTGCATCAGAATAAGAGCAGCCCTTCTGAAATATTTGTAGAACAACCTAGGAGCTTATTAGAAATGACAATATTGGGTCCTACTCCAGACCTGTTGTTGTTTGTTAAGTGCCCTAGAGTTCATTCCAACTCGTGGTGGTGGTGTACAAGGGAGTCAGTTCTGACTCTTAGTGACCCTGTACAGGCTTTCTGAGGCTGTAAATCTTTACGGGAGCAGAAAGTGTCATCTTTTTCCCATGAACCAACTGGTAGTTTTGAACTGCTGACCTTCAGGTTAGCAGCCCAACTTGTAACCACTACGCTACCATAGTTCCATCTCTTAGTAACCCAGTATAGGGTTTCTGTGGAGCAGCTGGTGGGTTTGAACCATCAACCTTGCAGTTAACAGTCCAGTGCTTATTCTACATCACTACCCCAGGACTCCCACCCCAGACCTACTAGAGATGTACAGCCTCTATAATTTATAGTCATAAACTATAGTGGGTGAATTCCAGCATAGTTTTATTTAACAAGTCCTCCAGGTGATTCAGGATGCCTTGATGGTGCAAACAATTAACATGCTCGTGTTGGAGGTTCAAGTCCACCTGTGAGAAACGTTGTCCATACCCCAGATACTGCCTCAGTGCCTCTTGATTTTGAGGTCACCAATGAGTTATTGCAATTGCTTACCAACAAACACTCAAGAAATCTAATCTGTATTCATTTTAGCAAGAGTGAAGCTTTCTTTATTAAATTTTGAAAAATCTAGCATCCAACCCAGAGGACACTGGCAGACACACTGCGTGGTCAACTCTCAAAAAACCAGCTCCCCTGGTTCTTCATTGACTTGAGTACTATGGGGTTAACAATTTTTCCCCAGATGTCACCTATTGAGATCTACTTGTGAAAAACCAGCCACTGAAAGCTCTATGGAGCACAGGTCTACTCTGACACACATTGGGTCACCATGAGTCAAATCAACTCGACAACAACTGGTTTCCAGGAGATTCTGATGCGAGGGCAAGCTTGTGAATAACTGATAGAGAAGAATGAGGTGCTGCACTTGAGATTAGAAACTTGGTTCCAATGGTTAGTTCTTGTCATTTGAAAGCTTTGTAACCCTGAACTTGTTCCTTTTCTCCCTGAGCTAGTGGTCTCAGCCTTGGCTGGGTGTGCATTGTAAATACCTTGGAAGCTTTTAAAGAACAGTAACAAACCTGGACCCCTCACAGGCTTATTAAATGTCAAGGAGCCCAGGTGTCTGTAGTTTTTTAATTTCTCCAGGTGACGCACAATGAGCCCTGAGAACCACTGCACTAAGTGTTGGTGTTTCTCCTCTGTACAGAGAGGGTGCTGGAAACAAATAATTATCTAGGTGAACATGGGCAATTTTAAGCTACAAGGCAAGTAATAAGGAGCTTTAAGGAAAATGAGTTTTCCTCCTCTGTTCTCCACCCTGGCTCGCACTGTGTTCCTCTAGGGCTCCTGGGCCTGCGATGACCCGTTATAGTTATACAACTTTCCATGAATATCCTAAACATAAGTTACATTTAGCTTCATTTTCCACTTCATAGTGTTGAGTCCTGAGCCAGGACCTCAAGACTTTTAGGTACTTTCCCCCTATTCCTTAGCTCTGACCCTGGAACAAGTTTTGCATCTTCTCAACATTTGCCTCAACTCAACAAAAGATGAAGTTCAGAAATGTACTGATGTCTTCATTATTATTACATAGAACCTGTAGACCTCGAACTAAGCTGCAGGGGGATCCTAAACACTCTTGGAACAGAACTTACTATTATCCCTGATGCCCTTTGTGATGAAGGCCCGTGTCATGCTGCTAGCCCAGACTGCCAATTGATATTTTCCTTGAGGTTGGTCCCTAGATGAGGACCAGACTATTTCTGTCTCACAGAGGACAGAGATCATCCAAGCCCTTGGGGTCTAAGGGCAAAGTCAAGCTCCTGCTGTTGTTGAAAGCTTTATTATTTACTCTAAGCTTGGAAACTGAAGAAAATTTTGAGTTCCTGGAACTAATTAATTTAATGAACATTTTTAGAGAACCTAAATCTGTTCTTGGGATGATCTATAAATTCAGGTGGGATATGTTGAAGGTCATATTTTGGCTCTCATGGACTTGTTTTCATTTTCTTTAGCTTCAGCCTGAACTTGCATAGAGAAATTGCTGATCTGTTCCACAGTCTGCCCCGGTCTTGTTTTGACTGATGATATGGAGCGTTTCCACCATCTCTTCCCACAGATAGTAGTCAATTTGATTTCTGTGTATTCCATCTGGTGAGGTCCATGTGTATACTCTTTTATGTTGTTTATAACGGTTTTAAAAGGTATTAACCATTTGAATCTGACAATCATATGGTTTATTATGCCAGAATGACAAATTGAACAGGAATGACATCACATTCATCATCATCAAAAGAACATTTCAAGATCTATTTTGAAGTATAATCATGTCTGTGATAGTATAATATCCACACACCTACAAGGAAGACCAGTTAATACCACTATTATTCAGATTTATGCACCCACCACTAAAGCCAGCCATGATGAAGTTAAAGAATTCGGTCGACTTCTTCAGACTGAAATTGATCAAACATGCAATCAAGATGTATTGGTAATTACTGGTGATTGGAATGCAGAGGGTGGAAACAAAAGGATCAGTAGTTGGAAAATACCAGCATTGGTGACAGAAACGGTGTTAGAGACCAACAGCACTCCACAGACACTGCTATGTTGACTCAACGGTTGTTGTTGTTGTTAAGTGCCGTCGAGTCGATTCTGACCCAAAGTGACCCAGTATAGGGTTTCCAAGGAGCAGCTGGTGAGCTTGAACCACCGACCTTGCAGTTCAAACAGCTTTGCAGTCTGATGCATTAGCCAACAGCGCCACACCAGGACTCCAATGGTAGGATAGATAAATGAATGGACACACTTTTATTTTGCAGGGCATCACAGGAATTCACTTTGCTGGCGGAGAGAAGTGCTACATTAAGGCGCAGGTAAAGGCTCGCATTCCTGAGGTGGACACTGTGACCAAGCAGAGCATCTCCTCAGAACTGGTGAGTAGCAGGCCATAGACTGAGGGAGGATTTGGTAAACACTGTTTGAAGGCATGGCCCTTCAGGTCTCTTGGTCCTGAATATGTGTCCAGAGGGAGCTGCTGTGGGCTGGACTTGCCCACTCTTTGGTAGCAGCCAAGTGCTTAAGCAGTCCTACTGGTTCACAAACTCTACCTTCAAAATATTCTTATGGGATGTAGTATTTTTCTAGTGTTTTGAGAAACTAATTTAAGGCACATAAAGGAATGTGGCCCATACCTGGCTCTTGTTTACCTGATCTTAGGGAAGTTTCTGATCAGTGCTTCCAACAGAAAGGACTCTGCATGGTAGGATGTTCTTTTTAGACTGAGTTCCATTCAGTAAGGAAGGCCCACCGCACAATTCCTCAGAGCAGACCACCAACTTCTGTCAGCGACAAAGCAGTCACATGACCAGCTCTCCCACTGTTCATCCACAGAAACCTACATAATATATGTCTACAGGTTGTTGTTGTTGTTGTTGTTATGTGCCGTGGAGTCGGAACCGACTCATAGCGACCCTGTACAGGGTTTCCGAGGTAGTCCCTGGCTAATGACATGTTCATTCAAATGGCTCCATCATAAGTAGATTCTGATATAAGTTGAATAGCTTTTTTTTTTTCCATAGCCTGCAATACAGTGATGTTTTGAACAGTAAATCATAGCATTGAACATCTGTGAGTGATCATCTGGGAATAACATCAGCAAATTAAGCACTGCAATATTTATGTAGTACATATTACTAACCATAAGATTAAAAGGGGGGGTGGGAAATGAAGGTTATAATTGCAGTTTGTTCTAACTTGAAAATGTTGTAAGCCAGAGACTTCCTGTACTTCCTTTTCCATATACCAAACTTGTGAGGCTTTGTTTTTACATAATTCTTCTATTTATTATCAATAACTTGCTTTTGAATTTGATTTTTTAAAACATTTAAGAGTCACATTGGCTAAGACTTATACCTGACATTTTATGGTTTACAAAGTAAGTCCTTATCTTCCATTTAAGTTGTGGCAGAATATAACAGAAAAAAAATGGACTTTGGAGTCAGAAAAAACATGGTGCCAAGTCCCAGCTCTGACACTTGCTATGGACAAAACTCTTTGAGCCTCAGTTTAGCCATCTGCAACTAGGGGTATGCCTCTCTTATGACTTTGAGGTTAACAGCCTGACTCATAACCACTATACTACCAGAGTTCCTTCTAAAATATAGGTGATAATGAAAGTGCTATATCTATCATCATATGACCCAGCCATAATTCTAAAAGTCTTTGAGTCTTGAACACTCAGTTATCTTCATTTTTCCCCACACTATTTCAAATAAAACTCTTGTGAATATTCTTGTATTGAATCTTTGTCTGTGTCTGGCTCTTTAATCGGGCCTCGGTAGCAGGAGGTGTTTTTTCTCGTGTTTTAGATGTGTGTATTGTGCACCATGGCACCTGTGATGGACAAAAGCAAATCCAGTCGATACGCTTGTGTAAATTAGAAACTGGGAGTAGCAGAAAAGTAGGCTTAGAGTGATTTAAACAAATAGGGGTTTATTGGTTTGTTTCCACCATAAGCAATGTGGAGGGAGACAGATGTAGGCATCAGTTCAATAAATAACATCTCTGTGATTTTCTGAGCTTTTCCTTCCAGCTCCAAACATAAACCATGTGTTTAAGCCAGGACGTCAGGAAAGAGTTGGGCAGTGCCAACCATGACTTCTACTTCACACAGGAAAAGCAGAAGACTCTCAGCCCCCAACGTACTCGTTGGCTAAAAACTATCATACAGGCACCCTTAGAAAATCTGAGAAAACTGGGGAGTCTGAGACAACAAGTGTCTCTCCTGAGGCTGGGCACACTGCTGTCTCAACAAAACCAAGATGGGGTTGGCAGGGAATAGGAGGAGGGAAGGAGATTGGTTGACAATTGCAAGTATGCACCACAATACTTAATATTCTTAGCTTGTCAGCTGCATATACAGATATATAGATAGATAGATACATTATCCCAATCGCCCCAGACTTCCACACACACTTTAGATTATGATGGTCAAGATTTATGTGCCACTTACTCTCATAAATTTTCTATCAGTTTTGTATAACTTTGAAAAGTTGCTATACTCAAAAAGCATTCATTTCCTGGATGGAGCCATTTAACTGAAGGAAAGTAACTGGGTAACCTGAATATTAGCTTCCTCTAGTAACTTTAAGTTGTTTTAATGCAGCCATAGCCTGAGGGAAAAAGCATAAATGATGTGCTACTTTTGGCTGATAATAGAGAGAAAATGTTTAATTTTGCCAACCGATTGCGAGCTAATAAATACAAGAAAGGAACAACTTGGCAAAATGAATATGTCTCCTGGGTTATCAAACCAGTCTCAGCATCTCACTGTAGAAGAAAATCAGGGTTTTATCTTTGAAATCTCAGGGGTGTGCTTGGTGTGAGGAACCTCTGAAGTATTGTTGTGTTGGAGCTGGGAAATGTAGAGCTGGTTGATGTGAAATAACACTTTGAACTAAAGACATTAAAGAACCAATCATTTGCTTCGTCCATTGTTGTTCAGAAGCTGCAGAATAAAAACCCCAAAGGATTTTCACTTCAAATGAAGGGTTCCTCTGGCCTTCATGAAATTCCAGAGTCCACGCAACTGCTTTTCCTCTAAAACATCTTTGATCAAAAACATCAGATTAACCTAAATCTCAAAGTTGGTATCAAGTAATTTTCACTTCAACTCGGGACACTCCTGTTCATACACCACATCTATCTAAAGGCAGGGTGGCATTAGTAGGTGAGGAGACACTCTCAGCTTCGTGAAGAGAGCTACCAAGAGAAGAGAGTAGAACTTCAAAGTGCATGGGGGTGGGCGTGGGCACTCCGGACACACAGCGTCCTCATTAGGTTCCTAGAAGGCAGAATGATCTTTTAGTAACACTTGAGTCTTACTAAGTAGCAGATTGTCCTCTGTACCCAATGTGTTTTGTTTTTACTTACTTACAGGAAGGCAAGGTCATGCCAGTTAAATTTGAAGAGAACTCTCTGATCTGGGTGGCTGTGGACCAGCCTGTGAAGGACAGCAGCTTCCTGAGTCCTAAAGTCCTAGAGTTCTGTGGGGACCGTCCCATCTTTTGGCTTAAACCCACATATCCAAAAGGTAATATTTTAAATTCTTGTAATGCTGCCTGGAGAAGGGTAGGAGGAAGTTGGTGGTTCCATGGGAGAATCCTTACTTTCCAATCAGGAGACCCGGGTTCGATTCCTGTCCAGTACCACACTCCTATCAGTGAAGTCTTGCGTGTTGCTATGAGGTTGAAAAGGTTGAGGGGAGCTTCCACACGGAGACAGACTGGGAAGAAAGGCTGACAATGCGTTTCTGAAAATCAGCCAGTGGGTACCCTGTGGGTCACAATGATCTCCACAAATGATTGTGGGGATGGACAGAACTGGGCAGCATTTCATTCCTTCGTGCATGGGGTAACAACACTGCTGGGAATTCTCCCCATGTGTGTGAGGTTCCTCTGAGCCCCTGCACACACCGCTCACAAGTCTGAACCTGTTAACAAGGAAGAGAAATCAGGATGCATGCAGCAGCGTCTCCTAATTAGCCTGACCAATAGAAGTGAAGAAAAATGACGGCACTTGAATGTTTTGCGGAATGGAAGGAGCAGCAGGGTTAACAGGCAGTAGAGCTGGGAGATAGAGCTCTGTGGCACTACTGGGGGACTTTATTTACAACACTTCTCCTGCCTTCTGCTCAGTCCCTTATTCTCAGTTGTTTGCACCTTCAATTTTACTTATTTTTGATTCCTAAGGCATAGGAACAAGGGACCAAAAAGCTCTCAGAGGGCTGGATCTTTATTATGTTCAAACCTAGAATTATGGAGTCCTGGTGTGGCGCTGTGGGCTAATGTTTCAGACTGCAAAGTTGTTTGAGCTGCAACGTCAGTGGTTCAAGCTCACTAGCTGCTCCTTAGAAACCCTATACAGGGTCGCTATGGGTCAGAATTGACTCAATAGCACTGAACAACAACAACAAAAGCTGCTGTGATTATAGACTGAGATTCCTCAAGTTCAAGGCTTGAAGGCCAGCTTCCAAGTTTGGGTGAAAATAAAGACGTCCCTGGCCTCAGAGCTAAGAGATGCTTGAAGGTGGTGAAGGGTAGTGAGCCGATGGGTTTTGCTGTCTTGTCCCCAGGTGCTCACTCACTCCTGATTTCCACTGCAGTCACCACACTGGGTCCCCAAAGGCCTTGTTTCGAGCTCTGCCTCAAATATGGGAAGCAAGGCCTTTCTCCCAGCACAGCTGAGATAGGCTGTTAACTTCAGAAAGATTTTACTAACCAAGATGGCGCAGCACAGGCATAAAACACAAGTATGGAAACCCTCAGACTCAGAAAGTTCCAGAAGTGGAGATGTAAACTGAGCCCAGTACTCCCTGATTCTTCTACCCTTCCTTAGAATCCAAGAAGCTACCTGTGAAAACTCTCTGTGGCTTTAAAGCACACTCGCTGCTGCTACTGCCGTTGTGTGCCGCAGATTTGAAGGATGAATGAACTGTGTAAGAGGCTTGTCCAGAAAATGAGGGGGGAGAGCTCTCCATGGGAGCAGAGTTGGAGTCTCTTGTCCTTGGCTGGAGGAGGGGACATGGTATTGCAGAAGTGGTTCGTGGCTAGTGGAAAACAAGAACTTGGCACGTGACTCTAGAATTCTGAGTTCACTGAAGCAGAAAGCAGAAAGCAAAAGCATAACCCATTTGGCAACCCCCTCACCAGCCCCTACTTTTTGTGGTAGACACTGCTTACTGAGCATGCACTGTTCTCTCCCCTGCGCCTGCACACGCCTTCTAAATCCATTGTTCCAGAATGGCACTCTTATCCAGGCTTTGGAACACAATGATTTTTTTAAAAACCAAGCCCACTCTGCTGTGTAGGTGGTTCTGACTCACAGAGACCCTGCACAGGGTATCTGAGACAATCTTTACAGGAGCAGAAAGCCTCTTCTTTCTTCTGAAGAGCAGCTGGTGGGTTTGAACTGCTGACCTTGCAATTAGTAGCCTAATGCCTAACCACAGCGCCTTCAAGGCTCCTACTGGAACACAGTGTTGTTGTTCCTAAGTGTCATCAATTCAGTTCCGACTCATAGTGACCCTGTAGAGAGATTCCAATGAGAGGCTGTTGTACTTGAACTACCAACCTTGTGGTTCAAACCAACCTTGCAGTCCAGTGCATTAACCCGCAGCACCAACACCAGCATGCCATTGGAACACAATAGGACTTGGGAATTTATAGGAATAAATTAGCCATGGCAGAATACACAAATTCAAGCAGTGCCTGGCACATAATCAGGGCTCAGAGGCCATCAGTTCCTCCCCTCCCTTTTGCCTGTGTCTGGGTGCCATTCACAGCATCCGCGTGACTGATGATGGCCTGGTAGGCTTATGGAACTAAGGGCAAGGGATGCTGGAACCTACAGTGGGAGTGGGGGCTTATCTGCTTAGCTGTGCATCCCAGGTGCCTAAAACAGGGCATCATAGGTGTTCAATCAGCGGTTCAAACCTACCAGCCACACCTCAGAAACCCTATGCAGGATCACTATGAGTCGGAACATACTTGACAACACTCAATAACAACACCTAATAATCAACCCTTTCAAGAGGCAGCATTTGATCAAGAACCAATAGTACTGAAAGAAGTTGTTCAAGCTGCAATGAAGGCACTGGCAACAAACAAGCCTCCACGAATGGATGGAATATAAATTGAAATCTTCAACAAAACTGATGAAGCACTGGAGGTGCTCATTCATTTATGCCAAGAAATTTGAAAGATAGTTACCTGGCCAACCAATTGGAAGAGATCCATATTTGTGCCCATTCCAAAGAGGTGACCCAACAGAATGTGGAAATCATTGAACAATATGATTGATACCACATGCACGTAGAATTTTGCTGAAATGAATTCAGAAACTGTTCACCAGTAATTTGACAAAGAACTGCCAGAAATTCAAGTCAAATTCAGAAGAGCACATGGAAAAAGGAATATCATTGTAGATGTCAGATGGATCTTGACTGAAAGCAAAGAATACTGGAAAGATGTTTACTTGTGCCTTATTGACTATGCAAAGACTTTAGACTGTGTAGATCATGACAAACTATGGATAACATTGCAAAGAATGGGTATTCCAGAACACTTAATTGTGCTTATACAGAACCAGTATACAGACCAAGAGGCAATTGTTAGAACAGAACAAAGGGATAATGAATGGTTTAAAATCAGGAAAGGTGTGCCCCAGGGCTGTGTCTTTTCTCCATACTTATTTAATCTGTACATTGTGTAAATAACCCAAAAAGATGGATTTATGAAGAAGAACGTGGCATCAGGATTAACAACCTGTGATATGCAGATGACACAACCTTGCTTGCTGTACATGAAGAGGGCTTAAAAATCCTCACCACGGGACCAAGAAATAACATCATGATAGAGAAAAGATTGAAATTGTCAGACTTCATTTTGCTTGAATCCACTATCAAAACTCATGGAAGCAGCAGTCAAGAAATCAAACAACGTAATGCATTAGGCAATGCTACACAAGACCTCATTAAAAGTGTTCAAGAGCAAAGATGTTAGTTTGAGGATTAAGGTACTCCAGACCCAAACTATGGCATTTTCAATAGCTTCGTATGCATATGAAAGTTGTCAATAAATAAGGCAGTAGAATTGATGCATTTGTGTTATAGTGTTGGAGAATATTGAAAGCATCATGAATTAACAAATCTGTTAGGAAAAAGAACAGCCTCTGCTCCTTAGAAGCCAGGATGGTAAGACTTCATCTCTTACTTCAGACATATTATCAGGAGGGACTAGTCCCTGGTGAAGGACATCATTCTTGGTAAAGTGGAGGGTTGACTAAAAAGACTAAGACCCCCAGTGAGATGGATTGACACAATGGCAGTAGTAATAGGCAGAAACATTAACAATTGTGAAGATGGCATAGGACTGGGCAGTGTTTGGTTCTATTGTGCACAGTCGCTATGAGTCGGAACCAATTTGACATCACCTCACTACATACAAGTGCTTATTATATGCCAATATTATGTAAAACCTTTCAATACTGATTCTCATTAACCCTATCACTATTCTGTGAATTAGATAGTATTATGATTCCCATTTTACAGATGAGGAAACTGAGGTTCAGAGTTGCCAGAGCCCATGCTACGTGATACTTTAAACTTTGGTTACACAGAAGCTGTAGGGTCAGTGAGGCAGGTGGTGAAATCCAGTGCTGGACTGGTAACTGAAATTCACATTCTGTTCCTATTCTGTGATGCTCTTGTAAGAAATATCTGCTTTTTACAACCCATAGACTTGGTTGAGAGAATCAACCATGATAATATTATCTCTGTAACATTGTATAATCTCATTAGGAATCCATAGAGCTGCAAGTAACAGAATACCTAATGAATAGTGTCTTAAACAGGTTGATTTTTATAATATAATCAAGTCTGGCAGTGGGCTTTTCTGGTGTTATCCGATACTCAGTGATTCCATCAACTCTCTTCCTTGCTTACTACCTTGCTACCTGAAGCAGGTTACTTATCATCCGTATGCCTTATCACTTCATACTCATGAATTGGTTCCAGACGACACATCTAGTTCCAAGAAAAGAAAAGCAGAGTAGTCCTATGATGTCCCCCTTGATCAAGAAGGCAGACTGCACCAGCACATTCTGCTTATGTCTGACTGGCCAGGGATGTTTCAGCTAGTCACTACTAATTGCAAAGCAGGCTGGGAATATGAGCAGTGTTGTACTTTCTTGGTGTCTCTAACAGAGGCAGACCAAGAAGAAAGGGGTTGAGCATGGATGATTGCCAGCTAGCTGTATCTTACAAAACCAAACTCTGGTTACCTGTATGTTTAACTCCTACCAAGACCCTAAAATATGCTTTATTTTTATTAATTTATCAGTACAGAATTAGTGTCTTGGTGTGGTGTTTTAGGATAAGCACTAGACTGCTCATCGGAAGTGGCAGTGGTTCAAACCTACCAACTACTTCTTGGAAACCCTATACAGGTTCGCTTATGAGTTGGAACCAACTTGAGGGCACTTAACAAGTCATGTATATGATATACCCGTATGCTTTTCTCCCTGGTATATGTACTATTTTCCTTAGTTATTAAATTAATTTATGGAAATTTTTTGCAGAAATCCAGAGAGAAAGAAGAGAAGTGGTAAGAAAAATTATGCAGCCTACTACAAGAAGACCAAGCAGTGGAACACGGGGCAGCCCAGGCCCTGGGAGACCAAATAATGAAACCAGACCCAGTGTTCAAGAGGATTCAGAGCCCTTCAACCCCGACAATCCTTACCAGGTGAGTACAGGGGATCTGTAAATGCATTCAACAGAGCAAACATGGTGATATTTCTACTTGAGGCTTCAAACATATAGCATGCAACTGAGACTTTTGCTCAATTATTTTATAAATGTGAAGGGGTTTCCAAAAGTTCATAGAAAAATGGAATGAAAAGATAATGGAGTTTCCCACAATTTTTTTGAAGGTCCCCTCATCCATCTTCACTTGCTGTTGGATTTGTAATTGAGGGTAGGAACACGTATGTTGCCTCTGTAGTATCAAATCCTGATTAGCTGCAAGCCTTATTCAGGTTTGGGTTTTTTTTGTTTTTTTTTTTGGGGGGGGTTGTTTTTGTGTCACAAGCAAATCCATGCAAACAAATTCCTATCAAAAATTTATTTTTAAATGTTTCCCAGACTGTGTCCTGGAATTGACACATGGATTTCATGCATTCTCGTTCTCCGTTTATGTCCTTCTTAACCCTCAGTTCATCTGTGGAGTGCCTGATCTTTTCCAGGCCCTGTACACACGACTTAGTCATAATTTCTGCCCTCAGGGGTTCAGTCCAGCCAGGGAGACAGATGATGCAGACATAGAATGCAACATTGAAAGATGGTGTTTGTCATTTTGACACTGAAGTGCTAAAAAGTTCTCAAGCCTTCAATGAATTATTTACATTACTATACTTTCCAGGGAGTGAAAATAAAGTATTTGTAGCTAGTTTAATTGAAAAAAACAACTAGATACATATGTACCCTCTCCTCAGTTATTAACTATCTTATTTGACATTGGTTATTTACATTAATAGTAAAAAAAAAAAATCTATTTTTCACATTAACAACATACATTAACGAATGCCAAGCTACAAGGCAAGAATAACACTAGTTACCATGGTTATGTGCCAATTTGGCAAGGCTATGATTCTTTGTTCTTTGGCAGTTATGTCATGAGTTTTGTAAAATTTCACATAACGCCAGTTTTCACATAATGACCTGGTCTCGGGAACCTAACCATGCTGGTAAGTGAGGAGAGTGTATCTTTTTTAAACAGCACAGAAGGGCAAACAGCCCTTCCACCCAACATCCTTCCCAAAGCAACCTACTGGCAATGACTATTCACCCAACTTATTTGCATAAGAACATACACATTAAGTTAAAAAAACACAAAACATATGGTACTTTGGTACCTTGCTTTCTTTCCTGTTGTAATTCAGCATTTTGGAGATTTCTAGATCTCACACCTCATTTATTATCATGGCTACATAGTATTTCTAGTATTTCATTGTGTAGATGTTGTTACTAAGCGCCATGGAGTCAGTTACAACTTCTAGGGACTCCACCTAGGGTTGAGGCTTTTATCTTTTATGGAAGCAGAAAGCCTTATCTTTCTCCGGAGAAGAGCCTGGTAGGTTTGAACCACCAACCTAGTGGTTCGCAGTCCAGTGGTAATCCTATGGAGCCATGGGCCGATGTACTGAAATTTAACTAGGTTCATTCTCTTATGGACATTTCCCTTTCTCTTGAACCTTGTTCATGCTTCATAAGTAATTGCTGCCGTCAACCACCGTTAAGTTGATTCTGACCCATAGCAACCCTGTATAGGGTTTCTGAGGAGCAGCTGGTGAGATTTAACCTCTGACCTTGCAATTCAAACCGACCTTGCAGTCCAGCGCGTTAACCCACAGCACCACACCAGGACTCTCCATAGGTAATGGGATTCAATGAGTTATTGTATGTTAAGCTTTAAGCACAGCGCCTGGCACATAGCGTGCACTCACACACTCAATGTTAGCTACCACTATTATACCGCTTGTACATTTGTGGGAGGATATCCTTAGGTTAAATACTAAAGCATGGGCCTGCTAGGTCAAAGTAAATGAGTTTACATTCTAATGTTGTTAAGTACTGTAGAGTTGGTCCCAACTCAGTGACCCTGCACAGGGTTTCCGAGGCTGTAAATCTTTACGAGAGCAAAAAGCCTCATCTTTCTCCCGCGGAATGGCTGGTAGTTTCCAACTGTTGACCTTGAGGTTAGCGAGGGTGCCAAATTGCCTTCTAACAAATTAATCAGTTACACACCTGCAAATAAATAGTAATGAAAAGGCCCCATTGACTATCCAACTTTTTTATCCTTGCCAATCTCTTGGGTGTAAAATTGCTTCATCTTGCCAGCCTTTAATTATGTGTATGCTGTCATTTGTGTATGTTTTTCTGTGTAGCCAGTTCAGTCCTACAGTTTGTCATGTGTTGCAAATTTATTTTCTATTTTATCATTTTAGACTAACATATTTTTAGAGATTTAGAGCAAAATAGTATTTTCTAAATAACTCAAGGCTTATCAGAACATTCAGGACTCCACAATACTTCAATCCCAAAGCTCAAAGAATAATAAAAAAGTAAAATCGGAATAGGCAAACCAATTTTAATATAGCTTATCCCCCAGGTGGCTGGGCTGGCTGAATCTGGTTCAAGGGAAGAGGGTATCAGCGCCCTGCAGGAAGGCAGGATGTGACTTTGTCTGCCCTGGGTCTAGACATGTGATCATATTCCTTGAAAATCTCCCCTTACATCCATTTCTTTCCCTCTTCATGACCACAGTTCATTTAGTCAAGAAGAATCTTAGCACCACCTGAGATTTCTCCCAGCTCTTTAATCCTACTGCATCCTAGTCATGAGATGAGAAATGTCTCACCACCAGGCCCGCTCCCTGCCCCAGAGAAGTCAGATGTGTTAATGACGTGGTTATCTGTGTTTGCTTTCTCAGATGAACCAAATTCAGGAGATAAGGGATAAAAAAAGGAGAGACCCTGGAGAATACAAACTGATGTCAGACAGCAGGGCAGTACAGGGTAGTGTGGTAACAACAGGGGAGAGTTCAACACAGGCTTTATCAAATGGTCTTTAAGTGGGAATTGTTCATCAAGTTAAGTGTGATAGTGCAGGGAAACATAGTGTAGGAAAATGGTCCCACATTTTGGAGATACATTATAATGCACTTATGTGTGAAGTATCACAATTGTCTTCCAATTCTCTTAAAATTTCACTTCAGAATTTACAATACTTCAGAAAAAAAAGATTGAGAAAAGGTTAACAAGAGCAAAATCTACAAGTTTATCTGTGCTCAGTACACAATTTCCTCTTCAACATGTTTGAAGTTTTTCACAATAAAATGTTCCACCCTCCAGTGAAGACGAAAGGTATTGGGTTGTTATACTGGAAAAGGTGGTTCCTGGGCGGTGCACATGTTGTGTACTCAGCTACTAACTGAAGAGCTAGCTGGTGGTTAGAACCCACTCAGGGGCATGGTAGAAGAAAGGCTTGGAGATCCGCTTCCATAAAGATTACAGTCAAGCAAAGCCTGTGGAGCACAGCTCTGCTCTAGTACAGAGGGTTGCTGTGAGTCAGAACTGATTCAGCTGCATCACGCTTAGAATTTGTCATTTATGCTTTAAATGCTGCTTACATGGATGCCAGGATTTATATTACAGAAACGAGCTTCCTGGCAATGTGATTCAATACCATAGCAAAGAGCAACAGAATCTGTAGTCTTAGAAATATTTGAAAAGTCAGATTTGCAAATTAGGCAGGGGGCAAGTCCCTCCCCAAGCCTTGTGATCCATTTTTCCAGCAGTAACAATGGAACGTTTTGTAGATGATTTTTTTTGAGTTTTACTTTTAATTTATACTAAAATAGCATGCATTAAAGGAACAAAAATTTGGAGACATAGATTCATATATTTGTTAATTGAAATTAGGATAAATAAGACTCAACAATAATTTAATCACAGCCCTGGCTTTTCTTTTAAAATAAACAGCTTTTCTGGGACTTATTAAGTGTTGAGTTGATTCGGACTCATAGTGACTCTGTATAGGGTTATACATGATTTTTACTTCAACATAATTCCCTGTTTATGGACTTGTAGGTACTTCATACATAAACTAGAAGTTTATGGTCTGGAGTTCTTAGCACCTTTTCCTCTGAGTGTTACAAATTCCATGTCCCCATGGAGCTAGCATCCTATTCTGTTGCAGGCAGGAGAAATGAAATGATCTGACAGTATTCTTAGGCCAGTACAACTGGAACTGAAGTCTGTTGTTTGCCTGGATCAATGTGTTTCAAAATATGCTCCCAAGGGCCCTAGAAGCCATTACTACAAGATGGCACCAGATTCCCACTGACTTAAAATTACTTGTGACAGATATGCTACTTTTAAATTATAATGCTTCCTTTTTGTTTTGCTATTTAAAACCAGTTAAGTCACTACTTGAGCGGTAACCAAGACTCATTAAAGGCATGCAAAAACTTCAGGGTATCATTTAAACACAGACACACCAACTGCCTCACAGTGACAAATTAAGCAGGTGAAAGTTTCATAGACTCAGAATAATACTGAATGAGGGCAGGTTTTAGGCCTGAAAACTCCTCACTGTACATACATTATGCTGATTTCTGGTAGCACTGAAAATGTCAGGATCTTATTTTAAAAACCATGTGCATGTTGTTAAGGCTTCCCATTAGAAGAATACCCAAATCATTCTCTCATTTTGTAGCAGCAGGAGGGTGAAAGCATGACATTCGAGCCCCGGCTGGACCATGAAGGGATCTGCTGTATAGAATGTAGGCGGAGCTACACACATTGCCAGAGGATCTGTGAGCCCCTGGGAGGCTACTCCCCATGGCCTTACAATTACCAAGGCTGCCGTTCTGCCTGCAGAGTCGTCATGCCATGTAGCTGGTGGGTGGCCCGCATCTTGGGCATGGTGTGAAATCACTTCATATACCGGGTGCTGTGAAGTAAAAATTAACTGAAGAGGCAGCCAAAGCAGGAGGTATATCTTGATGCTGAAGAACCACAAGTATTTTATACTCAGTCTGAGAGGGATTATTCTAGACACCTTAAAAATAATACTCCTCAGTTGCTTTGAATTTGATTCAGTATGTGCAAATGTACTGAAAGGGTAGTTTGATTTGAATCCTTTCATTATTTACTAATTTTTCTTCTTTGCTTTGCCAATAAGAGCCTGCTTATAAGCTTTCCTAAGCTATTTTGAAATAAACATGAGAAATTTACAATCAGTCAAAGATTTCAATTGGACACCTTGAGTTCTTTTTAATCAAGTCACTGACTAAAAGAATTAAGTTGCTCTCTGTTATTGTTGTTAAGTGCCATCGAGTCAGTTCCGACTCATATAGCAACCTTGTATAGTGTTTCCAAGGAGCAGCTGGTGGGTTTGAACCACCAACCTCAAGGTGGGTAATCTAGTGCTGACCCTCCAGCACAGACTTTCTGCTGTTACTAGAACATGATTTCTCAATTGTTCTTAACCTTTATTGTTCTTCCCAAGCAAATGTACACAAGTTTCCAGATATTGACACAAATAATCCAGGATGTCAAACTGGCCCTGTCAAGGCCATAGAAGTGAAATTTGGATGACTTGGTGGAATGGGAGACTCAGAACAGACTGATACATGACGGGATTATTGCAGACCCGTGGAGAGCCACACACATTCAAAGTGGCAGGCCAGGAACTACTGTCTTCAACTCTGCTGCTTGCGAGATTCAGAAGCACATTGTGATTTGGCTACACATGGTGATTTGGCTACACACAGTGCCCTTATTTCCTAAGAGGGGGATTAAGTTACTAACAGGACTTTGGACCATAATTTTTCCTGCATCAATTCACCCACATTTAAAATACTTAAATTTACTATAGTGTCACTTCATTGGCCAAGACTAAACCAGGAAGAACTGATTCAAAGCCCTAAAATTAAAAATACACACACACACACACACATGTGCTGGAAAGTAAACATCACAAACATCAATGTAGTAGCTCATAGGAAAGTATGTGAGGGGGTTTCAAAGAGTTCACGAAAAATAAAATAAAAAGATCCTGGGATTTTCCCACAAACTTTCTGAGGCCCCTTAGAAGTGCTGGAATGAGAGTAACAGGTGGGTGTCCTCTGCTAAGTCACCTCCAAGCAAAGTGCATTAGGAAAAAGGGGGGAAATACAGTCATAGATAAATCAGACTTGTGGTAAGGAGGATGACTGGTGACATTCTGAAAAGCAGCGCTTCCTACTCTTCTCAATCTGTTTTCAATAAGTGGTCATTGGGCATGAAGAGGCAGAATGGTTTCCACCTCTGAAGTACAAATCAGGCTGCTGATGTAGTGCAGTTCCCAATCAGTTAATCTCCTTGTAGTAATGGGGTGGACAGTGCAGCTGAGGAGGAATCCCTTATTTATTCATAACAACATGAAGAAGTCTCTCAGGAACAAAGGCTGGTTTCCAGTCACTGAAATATTAAATCAAGAGAATCAGCAACTATTTCCTGTTTTTGAGGTTTTAGTTTTGAATCCTACAGTTTCTTAAAGAACAACTTTCCTAAGCAAAAAAAGAGGAATTTGCCCAAAATGATTACCATAAGGACTCTGAAATGACAGACAGAGCGGACTCCTTAGGATAATCATTTTGTTACTATAGTCCCAACTCTGAATATGCCTTATTCCTGTTATGTCTAATGTTGACAAATTAAAATGTGTCAAGTCAAACAGAAATCTTGTAAACCTACTTTATCAGATCAGCACTCAGATGTATATTTTTCATAGAACATATAGCAATCCAGGACTTTGGGGTGAAAAAAGAGATAAAGGAAAGACACTAAAATAATTACATGTGATGGTCACACTGTTCTCGGGTAGCAGCGACTTCCTGCACAGTAAGTTATACATTTTACATTTACTCTTTAAAAAGATGGTCCCTAAATTCATGCAGCAAGTATATGCCAATGGTTCTGGACCACCAGCACTACCTACTCCCCCTCCAACTGCCCAGTAACCGCTACATAGTTGTAGCGATAAATTTTTAAGGAGGAAAAAAGGATGGCTTAGCTGATACCAGCTCAGAAAGACTTGTGGCCTAGTATGAGATACAGGTAGTCCAGATTCAGAACACCAAGGGCTTTGATAAACATGGGAGCTCTGGACATCTTGGTAGAAGAGAATGTCTAAGTACGTCTCTTAGGATGAGCAAGGCCTTAGCCATGTGGAGGTGGTCAAGGAGGGGCATTCCAACAGAGGGGGTAGACTAAAACCATAGAAGCCTGGGACCTTTAGAGTACCCAGACTGAATTAGGAAATAGCAAGATGGAATGCAGGCAGAAGCTGGATTCTGATACAATAGCATGTGAACTTAGGTGGTAATAGGGTGGGTAATAGGGAGCCAATGAGAAGTTTAAGACAGAAAGTTGTTAACCTCACTTTTAGACAGACTCACACCTACTACTCAAATCAATGTGACATTAGAAAAGTCAAGTATATTTGAATATCACTTAATCAAAAATGTTTGTCTTACAACATTAGATTTTATTCTGAAATACAAGCTACATTTGTAGAAATTCCTTGTGTAAGTGGCATAAATTAATTTTTGTGTAAGCTGAATATACTCATTTGTTCTATGGATGTTTGTTTTATTGAAATGGTCACAATTTTTTAAAAGATAACTGATTCATTAAGGGGGGAGGACTGACAAAACTCCTAGCAGTGTACCTCAAAATGAGCAGGTAAATGTGAGTCAAGTTAGAAACCTTAGCAAAACCACCTCATAGGCAGAAGAGCGTCCGTATTGATTAAAAAAAAAAAAAAAGCTGGCTCCATTAAAAGGACCCCTGTACATATACGCAAGCTCCTATTCTATATACATACACAAGTGTGCTTCACTTTGAAAAAGTCAGTAATATTAGGATCAAATTGACTAAACAGGTTTAGTTAGTGATGACTGGCTTTATAAAACGATTCATTTAAACTGCTTACATTCAAGTTTTCAACATATATATAAATTTTAGGTACTTACTATGTAAAAGGAGTTCTGGTGTGGCGCTGTGGGTTAATGCACCAGACTGCAAAGTTGTTTGAACTGCAATGTCGGTGTTTCAAGCTCACCAGCTGCACCTTGGAAACCCTGTGCAGGGTCGCTATGGGTTGGAATTGACTTGACAGCAAGTTAACAACAACTATATAAAAGTAAGCAGTACATCTATCTATACATGAAAATATTTTGTGTGTACAATCTGAACTTAAACAGATGACAAAGTTTTCTGAAGTGGTTGGCTTACTGAACCCTTTTCACACCTTAATAGATTCAGGATCAAATTGACAGGAGGCCATTTTCATTACGGTGTATGTTATCACAATGTTGTTGTTAAGTGCCCTCGAGTCAGTTCCAACCCATAGCAACCCTGAGTAGGGTTTCTGAGGAGCAGTTGGTGAGCTTGAACTGCCGACCCTGCAATTCAAATGGCTTTGCAGTCTGGCACATTAACCCACAGCACCACACCAGGACTCCATGTTATCACAATAAAGTGATACAAATCAGTAATGGGGCTGGAAAGAAAAGTATGCCCACTAAACTATGACAGATTCAGAACATGAAAAAACACATTATTAAAAACTATTTGTTTTAGGAAGTACACCCCACTAAGTTCTCTCTCATAGTCTGTCATATTCCTAGTCTGTTCTCTGTGCCCGCTCCTGCAAAAATTCTCTTCACACCTATTTCCTATCTATAATGAAATCAGAACTCCAGAAAATATTAACTCACATAGCTTTAAAAAAAATGGTAACAGCCATGAGCTACCTTGGAAGACTAACTACACACTTAAAAACAAATAAAACCTAGCATTATAGGAAGCTTCCAAAGGTTCGTGGAAGAATTCCATTCCATTTCCCACGAGTTTTCTGAAGACCTTCTATTGCCTATTTGCTTGCAATTATTCTTTTAAATATGATTTCTATGGTTTCCTGTCTTTCAGTCTTCCTTATAAGGTGTAGATTACTTAACTGGTAAGAATTTTCTTTTCAACTGTCTATATTCCATTAACTTTGGCTGTTAATCATCTTTTAATAATTAATTTCCTAGATAACAACAAGAACTGGAGTAAGCTAGTCAAGCATGAACCTTCTTCTCTTGGGGTATAATGCTGTTGAAATCAATTAAAACCCATCTCCCTGCCTCTTCATTACTGAGGTAACTATAAAACTAAGTAAAAAACACCTCCTCAGGACGCATACTAGTACAGTCTACTTGACCTACTCAATCATCACTAATTTTTAATACTCACGTAACACCTAGATGTAATCAAATAGGCAATGTCTGAGAAGATTCCAGTTGCTAAAAAAGAAAAGATGCCTTACTACTCATGGCTCTCCATGAATGCTAAATAAACACTCAGCAGTGATAAACTAGTGCTTTGTTCTATCCTGAATTTCACTCGGATTGAAACCACTTTCGCCACGTGTAGTGCTAATAGTAAGGTCAGAGGTTCAAACCACCAGTCACTTCTAGGAAACCCTATACAGGGTCTCTGAGTCAGAACTGACTTGACAGCACTTAACAAGAAGGTTCTACCAACACAAAAACAACTATTCAACATCTCTACTCTTCCTGTTTTCTCTCTCCTACATAGGAAAGAAACATCCTTCAAAGGAGCAAGCCCTCAAGTAGCTTTTTACACTTTCCTAAAACTTAATGAAAATAAAGTATTAGAGGTAACTAGCATTTCTTCATTCCCTCTTTTATTTGTTAAATTCAGTATTTTTAAAATCACACCCTGAACCACAAATCACCTGCCTCAGTTGATTAAAAACACAGGGTGTCATTTGGGAAAAGAGAAGGAATGAAAACAATAAAACACAGGGAGCAAGTGGATCCATGATGTTCCATTGAGAGGATTTGTAATCACTGAGATAAAACAAAGTATATGACT